AAAATAGTTCCCCTGCTCGGGCGAATCGCGGGGTGGCGCCCGCCAGACTAAAAATCAACGGGGCGGCGCTGGTGATTAGCGCCGACGCCCGACGACGACGACGACGATGACGACGACGCCTGAGAGGGCGAACGAAAATTCGCCTCGGATGTGTACGACCCTTATAACAACTCTTATACGAAATACAATCGTTTTGAGGCTGTCATGCAGGGGGGTACACGATCCCCTCGGCGGCGTCAGCGACGATCCCCTGGCGCGCGTGATTAAAAGAAGGTTTCGCCCCCCGCGGGGTCTACTCATCAGCCCCAGGAGGGGGGTTGGCCTTGTGTTAACCACAAGCTGACATCAGGGGAACAAACAATGACATAAACATACAAAATCCAGAGGTCCGCGCGGATTTCTCGGATCGGCGCTGGGCCCCCCTGGCGGCGCCTCCGGCGACGCCCCTGGCGCGTTCCGCGCGCCAGGGAGGGGGGTCCAGCGCGGATCCAAGAAATCCGAGGGGACCTCCGAGTTTTTTTATGTTTATGTCATTGCTCGTTCCCCTAAGCATATCTCCACTGACTCAACACACGGTCTGGTCACCGCACCGTTCACGGACCCCCGACGTCGTGGCTTTGTTCGCAGCGTCGAGTCCCAGAGGTCTGGACCCAATCACCAGGACCCGCTTTTCGTCCTGGGTCGTTTTTGACGTCCCCGATGCCTGGTAAGAGCCCCCGGAGGCCGAAAATGGCCAAAAACCTCCCGTCGCTACTTTTTTCCACGACGCAAGGAAGTCTGGGCCATGGCGACTGGCCATGGTGCGCGCCGGGGCCTGACCCCACGGGCGCCCCGCGGTGGTCCCCTGAGGACCCCTCTCCAGGGGGCGCCTGCTCTGAGGCAGGAGCAAGAAAACGACAAGGATGGGGATCCACCAGAGAAGGGGTTACCCTGAGGGGGGGGGGCATGAGTTCGATCCGCTGGTGCACCGAGCTGCCGCAAACAGATGCCCCCCACATGCCCCACCCGTCGGCAACTATCGGGAGCTGCCTGCGGCTGGGGGGCATCTGTTTCGGGCGGTTCGGTGCAAAAAACGATCGAATTTATATATATATATATATATATATATACACACACACATACACACGAGGCACGCACAAACCACATACACAAACACACACACACACACACACACACACACACATTGCGGGATTCCGACAGGAGCCGCGACCTAAGAAAGAAGGAAACAGCAAGGAACCGCGACACAGGAGTGAGGAAGCGACCCGTGAATGAGGAAATGGACGTTCTGCCCCCCTCCCCCCGACAGCCCGCTGGCCACACGTCCGCCGCTGCTGCCCTGGATCCGGGTGCCGGCGTCGGAGTCGTCTCCATCTGCATGGCGGCAGCGGTGCCCACCGAGGCGAGCATGAGCATGGGGCCGTGATCGGAAGGCTGCCCTCTGAGGACCAGTGGACTACCCTGCGATTTCGAGGTCGGCGTCTCTCTGCCCCGCTTCGGCGCCCAGGGGTCTGCTTCGGGCCCCCGGGGCCATCAGAAAACGACTCGTGGCGAAAAACGGGTTCCAATGAAGGGGCCGAAAGCTCCAGGGGAGGGGGGAGGCTCGCGCATTGAATTACTCCAGCAGAGCACCCGAATAGCAGCAAAGGTGAAGAAGCTGGTCGAGGAGTAGGAGGTCGGCGAATGAAGACGCGTACTCCTACGCATCCCCAAGGACACCTAGGCGACAGGGGTGAATCACGGCCATGTGCACCGTACCGTGGTGTTTCTTGCATAAAGATCGTGGCCGTGCGGACCAAAAAAGTAGCCCGCATTGGAGCAAGCCCCTCGGTCCCAAACACAGTCCCAGTTCAGGTTC